CATCTACGACCGCAAGTTCCTGTTGGACCGCCGCAACTCCCCCATGGCCCAGACCCCGCCTTGTCACCTCCCCAGTATTCCCGGCGTCACCAGCCTCGGCTCAGCCGGCGAGGAGCCCAAAGCGGACGCCAACAACCTGAACCACCAGGAAGGGAAGCCATCCATGGGTAAAGGACCCCGGGGTGGGGTGGGAGGATTTGGGATGGGAGGATTTGGGGTGGGGGTTGAACCCCCTAACATGTCTCCTTGCCTCTCGCCAGGGGACGACGCTCAGTTCGAGATGGATATCTGAGTGGGAACCACGGAGTGGCAGCAACAAAAAAAAACCATTCGGCTTAGCAGGATCCATCCCGGCGAGGCGGAGGCAGCAGCGGTCCCTGCCAGCATCCGTCTCCCTGCCTGCCTCCCTGCCTCTTTCTGGGGGGCACAGCTCTGGCTTCTCCCCTTTTTTGGGTGACCAGTCCCAGCATGTGCCGGACAGAGCATCCTTCTGGATCCAGCCCTATTCCTCCTCTTCTGTCCACTGACATCCTGATAGCCACTGGGCTTCTTAAAACATCCCTTTGCCTCTTCTGCTGCCTTATGCTTCCCCCCCAGAAAAAACATCTCCTGTTACCCCAGACCTCCCATTGCTGGCAGCTTGGCGGTCCAGAGCTGCGTCATCCCCTTTGCCTCTTCTCCCAGAAAATCTGGGCAGCCTTTTGGGAGGAGGGGAAGAGCATCACTCCTAAAACTGAGCGCCTGCTTGCACCCCAAAGAGGGTTTTTTTCAGTTCCCCTGGGACCTGCTGGCATTCAGTGGACAACAGTGGCAGCCTATTCCCTTTGGTGCTCTAGAGGTCCAAGTTAGTCCTCAACAGCATCGGGCAGCATGCCCGCATCTCTCCTACCCGGATTTCTTCCATCATGTCCTTTTGACCAGGGGCTGTATCCCCAACCCAGCAGCCAGGACTCAAAGTGATGTGGCCATATGTTACAAAAAATGACACCTTGCTTTTATGTTTTTGGTACTAAAAAGGGGAACTTTACCAGCAATGCTGCTTCTTTCAGGCTGGGGAGTGCCTCTGGGAAAGTGCTTTTCTTTTTTACACCGCACCCCCCTTTAAAATGTGAATAATACAGGAGCAAAATCCCTTGGCGCTGTTGAATGTCTCAGGAATAGCTGGATGCCCGGGGGGGAGTGACATCGCAGGGCTGCAATGCTGTGGCTGGAGTGCTCCAGTTGCAGGGTGCCAGTGTTGCTGCTGTCCTCCACTTGATTTTGTGCGAGGTCTTCCCCTGGCAGGGTAGTGCTGCTGTGCATAAGGGGTTTCCACGTTAACCTACAACTGCCAGTGGCTTTGCCAGCCTGGCACATTGTGGCCATCCTGCCTGTGCCTGGCATCTTGAAACTCCCTGGAGATGGGATGTATTTTTCCTCCTCTCTTGGTGCAACTCTTGCCTTGAAGAACAGCGTCCAGTGAGGGCATGCGTGGCAGGGGATGTCGCGGCAGTGCCATGCTGTGCCCCCTGATCCCACCAGCCCCCCTTTTTATATTTTTACTGCCTGTTGGGAGCCATAACAGCTTTGAAACCTTCTCAAGTGCCATTTTATCAGTCCCCACCTGAGTGCCTGCTCCATGCATCCTCCCTCCCTTGCTGGGATTGTCCCCCCCTGGTACCCAGGCCCGGGGACCTGTCGCCTGTCGTGGTGCCTCTGCATGACAGGGGTGGCAACACCCTACACTGACATCTGTGCTGCAGGCTTTGTGCACTTTCTGTCTGGTAATTTATTTCTCTAGGAGTGTTTGGCGTGGGTCGGCATGGTGGCTGGTTGCAAGCTCCCATCTTCCAGCTGCTTTTCTCCATAGGGGGTGCTGCTGCTCATTTTTTGGGGAAAAAGGCAAAAAACCCAAGGGAATGGGGTGTCTCTCCCATCCTTTCCCTTGCATGGGTAGTGCTCAGTGGGATGGAAGGTGAAAGTGTAGCTAGCCATCATAGGCGCAAGAGTGAGTGAGTGCAAGTAGAAATATGTATATGCGTGTGGGTGGGTGGTGATAAGACACACACAAATATATATATTATATATAAATAAATATATTTTCCTTAAAGCAAAGATCCTAGGAGGTCTGTTAGGTCCTCGGATCGAGGAAGTGGCAGGGGCAGGGGCTGAGGACATTCTTTGCAGAGCAGGCATGGCCACCATGGATGCAGGGGCCTGGCACCCTCGGCACAGCCACTCATTTTGGGAAGCCTGCTCTCCAAGCGAAAAATCAGAAAATATCCAAGGACAGCTTAACTTACGGACAGGACCCAGAGGGAAACCACTTTTCCCCTAAACATCCCCTTTCCCAACCTCCCTTTGTTTCCGTTCCCCCATCCCAGCGACTTTCTCCCAGTTCTCTTTTATAACTGGGCTTGGAACTGAAGAGCAGGAAGGGAGTGCCTGGCCTCGCTGGGGCAGCTCCTCTGCTAGTCAGAGTATACATTTGGGTTTTTTACTGTCTCTTCAAGCAGGTGTTTGGGAGGAGAAAAGCTCTCGCCAGTGGTTGCTGTTACAGTGAAATCAATAAAGATTTTGGTCTATTAAACCAAGGTGCTGGAGGTTTCTTCTGACTGACTCAGGGTACGGGGGGATTTTCCTTTCCCTTCAGAGCAAACGCCTCCTGGGCTTCACCCTCCTCGTGGGTCAAGCCTCCTCTCTTTATATTTTAGCTTTTAACTTTTTCCCCTCCCAAATTCTTTAGGTGAGTTGCTTTCCAAATTTCCAGTTTGGAAAAAAAGGGATCCAGGCCAAGGACGGTAAATTAGGCATGAGCCCCCGCCTCTAGCTGGGTGGAACTTAAGTATTATGAAGAGCAGGGGAGGGTCAAACCCAGAACCGACAGCCAAGAGTTAAGGAGGGACTGACTGCAAAATTTCATGTACAGAAAAATCTGGTTTTATCATAGAAAGGTCTCCTGTGTACAGAGTTGCTGCAAATTGGTCATTTATCCTGCACCACTGGGTGCAAAAACCTGAATAAACCTGGGCATCAAACTAGAGAGGTGCCAAAGAGCATGGGATGCGTCCAAGTCCGACTCCTGTCCTGGGTTGAGCCTGGGCTTAAACCAACGACAACGCAAAACATGCAATTAAACCCCTGAACTTAGGCTAGGCTTAAATTGCAAACTCCCAGCAATTTCCCACATTGCTGCTAAATGAATGGTTGCGCCAGCCTGGGGTACCCCCAGCCAGTGGCCCCTTCCAGCTGATGTGAAAGAAGCATGTGCCATCACACAGCACTCATCCCTGCCTTGCAAGTGCTGGGCAATTTCCCCAAATGTCAGTTGTGCTGCTAAAGCCATCATGTGAACTGGGTTTTAGCTGCTGGGGGCTGCAAAGCTATTACAAAGCCAAAGCTGTCTCACAAATCAGTGCTGGCCAAGGAGAGCAGGTGGGTTCAAGCATGGGGGTACAGCCACCCCCACCCAGGCTCCTTCCTGAGGGTTGTGATGGACCTGAACAGCCCCAGGCAGCCTCACCTGGGGACCCCTATGCCCAGGAGTGCGTTTATGCCCAGCCCGTGGCCTGGCTGCTCCTTTAGTCCATGCTGCAGTCCCGCTTGTGCCCTTGCAGGGAGGCTATGCTGATGCAGGCATGTTGCCACAAGTTGTCCTGGTTCAGGATGATTCTCACTTTAATTATATATATTTAAGTTATAAACCACGTAGCAGTAAAGTCAACCTTTTTTTATACCAGCTGCTCTGTATGGGGGGTGTGTGTGTGTCTGTGCAGCAAAAGCTTTTTCCCCCTAGTAGGAAGGAAAAGGTGGGTGGGAGCAGGGCATTCCCTCCCTCTGGCTGCAGCCACATCCTAAGGGGACCCAGTTTCTGTGGGTGTCTCAGCAAACAACCAGCAACACCCCACCCCATGCTGAACACCCCTGAAAATGCATCACTTTGGGATGTGGACTCTGTGTGAAATACCACAGTGTCATGCTACATTCCCAAACTTCCTGGGCCTGCGCAGGTCCCATGGGTGAAGCTGGGAAGGGGGCATCAAGGGTGCCACTGACATGGGTTGGGGGGCCCCTTGTGCACCCCAGATTGGCCACACATGGCGTGGTCCTTCTGTGACCTCCCATGGATGTGGGTGTGTATGGCAGCAGCAATACCTCTGCTCTGCTGGGAGCCCAGGGAAGGGCCGTCACATCATGCTGTTACCCAGGTTAATACTGAATTATTATTATTAAATTGTATTGTTATTATTTTTATACTCTTGTTCTTGCTCCTGATCCTGAGTTTAAAAGTGGGATGTAGGATGGCAGGTGGGGAAGGCAGAGAGGAAACCCTTTCCTTTGGAGCAGGCACCGCTGCTGGTGCAGAGCACGCGTGTTGCACAGCTGCTTCCTCCTGCAGTTTCTCCCTAACTTCTGGCTCTGCAGGTTGTTTCTTACCTGAAGTCTCTATTAAGGGTGCCTAAAGCCTGCTGGTGGAAACAAACAGTCCAGTGGAAAGTTGTGTTGCTTGGAAACAGGCAGCAAGGCTTTCTGAAAAATAAAAGAGAAGTAAGACATTTCTCCTTCTACCTCCGAATAGGAGTGGTGGATCCTGCGTTCTTCTTCTTTTGGTCTGAAATGTTAGTGGATTTTGAAGCCTGTGTACAGAGGAGAGGAGCAAGATGGAAAAAAATGCTGATGAGGTATTTGGGAGCTCCCCTCTTCTGGGTTTGGCATTGTCCATGCAAAGCTAAGTTTAGGGGAGCAGCAACTGTTTTCTTCCTGATTTTTGGGGTGCCCTTTTTTGTTTTAATCCTGGCTTCCAAAGCACCTGCAGCGAGGTGGATGTGTGTGGGGAGCCCTCATGTTTGGTGCGCTCCTTGGGGCAGAGGGAGTGTCTAGATGCTGATTTGGGAGCTACAAATGGAGATTATTTTTTTTTAAAGATAAAATTTCAATCTAGGACAGAAGCTGTCGGTTGATAGTGAGCTCTAAATGAAGTAAACCTGGGTAATTTCACATGCAGCAGTGGGAATGAAGCCTTCATTGGATTTATAGCTCTGGATTTGAGTTTGAAACTGGAGCAGTTGCCGTCTGCACGTGTGACTGCTGGGGTCTGCCCCGTGGCGTTCAGCTGTGTGATTCAGCAGAGCAGCTCAGGAAAGGGTATTTTGGCTGAGCCGGAGGCTGGGAGCCTGGCTAGTATCTAGGATCCCGATTAACAAACTTTCCAGCCCTGCTTTCCAGCCGTTACCATTTTCGGACTGCCTCCAGGCTCCGTTTACATTCCTGGCCCTCCTTCCCAGTGCCGGTGAACGTGTTAATGTCATTTTT